GAGCCGTGACTGATCGAGCTCCAGGAGCTCTAGGGTGTTGGCGTAGAGGATGTTGAGGCCGCTGCCTCCGTCTATCAGTACCTTGGTGAGCCGGGTGTTGCCGATGATCGGGTCGACGATAAGCGGGTACTGCCCGGGGTTTGGGACATTATTGGGGTGGTCTTCCCGATCGAAGGTGGTCGCCTCCAGAGACCAGTCGAGGTACTAGGGAGTGGCTACCTCAACCGAGAAGACCTCCTAACGTTCCCTCTTCCGTTGAAGCGCCGTGAGGCACGCTGAAGGCCCGTCGAAGATCATGAAGGCATTGTGCACCTCGGGGAACCCATCGTCCTTGTCGTTGTCCCCATCGCCGGCGCCCTTCTTCTTGGCATCGTCATTGGGGAGCCCGAGCTTGGCGTAGTAACGTCGGAGCATGGTGCATTCTTCGAGGGTATGCTTCACCAGGCCCTGGTGGTAAGGGCATGGCTTCTTAAGCAAGTCGACGAAGAGCCCGGGGCCCCTGGCGGGACCTTGGGGATTCTTGTGATCCGCGACTGCGACGAGATCAGCCTCGAGGGCCTCTTGCTTCCCCTGGCGCCCCTTTTTCTTTTTCTTGGAGAAACGGGAGGCCGAGGCCCCAGGGGCCTTGTCCCTCCGCTTCCCCTTGGCGTCGTTGTCGGGGAAGATGGCCCCGATAGCCTCTTCGCCCGAGGCGAAGTTGGTGGCGATGTCGAGGAGTGTGGCCGCCGAGGTCAGTACGTTCCAGCCTAACTCTCGGACCAGGTCTCGGTAGGAGGTACCGGAGTGGAATGCTTGGACAATTTCCGAGTCACCGACGTGGGGCAACTTGGTACATTGCTTGGAGAAGCATCGGATGAAGTCTCGGAGAGACTCGTCCGACTTCTGGCGACAACTCTTGAGGTCCCAGGAGTTACTGGGGCGCACGTATGTGCCCTAAAAATTCCTGACGAAGACCTTTACCAAGTCGCGCCAGTTGTGGATCTACAAGGGAGGGAGGTGTTCGAGCCAAGCTCGCGTCGAGTCCGACAGGAACAAGGGGAGGTTACTGATGATGAGCAGGTCATCGTTCGCGCCGCCTAGCTGACAAGCCAGGCAGTAATCAGCCAGCCACAGCTCGGGGTTGGTCTCGCCACTGTACTTTGCGAGGTTGGCCGGCTGTCGAAACCGGGTAGGAAAGTGAGCGCCGCGGATGGCCTTGCTAAAGACTCGAGGGCCAGGCGGCCCAGGAGAAGGACTACGATCCTCCCCACTGTTGTAGCGGCCACCTCGGTGCCGGTGGTAGCCTCGGGCGGGCCCATCGTTGTCGTGGCGCCGTCGCCTGCTGACCACATCGTGGTCGCCTTGCGCCTCGCGTCGGTCGCTGAGGCGGTCGTGCACCGAGGGGGCCCTGAGGCGGTCGTGCATCGAGGGGGCCTTGAGGCGGTCGTGCACCGAGGGCACTCTATCTTGTCGACACGGCGCCGAGGGCCGTTTCGAGGTGTCCCCGTGCCGTCGAGACGTGGAGCTTTCGGCCTACTGTACCGCGGCGGTCTCGGAGTTCGCCATGGACCCGACCTCCCTTCGAGGTAGATGGCTCGGGCATCATTCAGAGTAGCATCGCCGCTGCCGCAATGTTCTGGCTAGCGTGATTGAAGATAGGAGGTTGCTCGCCCCCTTCATCGTTGTTGATGCGGTGGTAGACGTCGCGAGCCCTCCGTCGGGCTGCTCAGCCATCACCGCGACCCGACTGCTCTCGCTCGAGAGTGTCTCGGAGCTGCTGCAGAAGGAGTCGGTCTTGTTCAACCTTGGCCTAAAGCTCACAGAGCTGCTCCAAGTCAAGGCCTTGAAGTTCCTCGTGGGCGGGGTTCTCGTTCCGCGCTGCTGGGGGTTCGACGCGCGGAGGTGTGGCATCGCCTGCCCCCTCGCAGGGCGAGGAGCGATTGCCTGCCCCTCCGTCTTCATCGCCCGCTCTCGACATCCCGAGCTCGACGACGAAGCACTCACGAGTGGGGTCGTAAGTGCCTTCGTCATCGGAGTCGAAGTAGCCAAAGCAGTAGTCGCTCGCGGCCATGAAGCGGCGCATGGCTTCAGGGTCGCGAAGCCCGAAGAAGTCCGCTCCGGCCCACACCTCGTCCTCCTCCGAGGAGTCGGCATGGGTGTAGGTCGAGGTTGTGGCGAAGAGGTCGAGGATGAAGCGTTGGTGGCATCCTGAGGGCTTCGCGTGAGCGGAAGCGTAGGCGGCGACATTGCTCAACCTGAAGGGGTACGGGGATGGTGCCATCGCCAGGTTCCGCTTCACCGGAGTCGATTCCTTAGGAGGTGGCGGGGCAGAGCTTGATGACGGGGCGTTGCTACGCGCCACCAGCGTCTTTCCCTTGCCCAGGCCTAAGCTGGACAGGTCCCCAACCAGGGACTCTGTACCAACAGTCGGGTGTGGGAAACTAGCAGAGTGCGGTGCGTTGCCCTGAGCTCGCGGGGTGTCAGGGTGGTTCTGCTCGCGTCGTGCCTGGCGAGCGCGACGAGAGCGGCGGCCCGGGCGCCGCCTGCGCCTGGGCTGCCGGTGCGTGATGCCGTCGTCGGCCAACGGGGCTCTGGATGGGAGGAGTACTAGGTCGTACTCGCATCCTAGAGACATGAACTCTAGGCTCCCAAACCAGATCACCGTGCCGAGACGCAGTGGTCGTACGGGGTCTGCCATCCGGGACTTGTTGGGACGATTAAGCTAACACGTAGTATGCCCCCTACCTGGCGCGCCAACTGTCGGTGTTTTGGACCGGCGGGTCCTCAACAAACGAGTGAGAATGTGCTGCGTGTCCCTATCCCGGATGGTGATGCAAAGAGACACAAGGTTTATACTGGTTCAGGCAATAGGTGCCCTACGTCCAGTCTGGGAGAGCGATCTTGTATTCCTTGCACCGAGATGCTCGTAGTAGGGGTTTACAAGCAGGGCGAGAGAGGGAGTTAGTCCTAGGTCTCTGCGTAGAGTGGCGTGGGTTGCTTGAGATGTTGATCTCTTGCAGGGAGGGAGCGTGCGTATTATAGAGTGTTGTTCATTGCTTGCGCGTGTGTGTCTATCTGAGCGATGTCTCCGTGAGTGTGTTGGGTGTGTGCTCCTTTAGAAACGGCCCCGGTCACTCCCTTTTATAGTTGAAGGGGGGACAAGGGCGATACATGTGTTCGCTACATGGTGTTTTGTGAGCGGAGGCGGTATGTCCGAGCCCTACAGCTCGTTACTGTGGCGATATGGTCGATGGAGCGGTCCTGTCCTTGGTACTTTGGAGCGACGCGCCGATCACGCCTGGTCTTGTGCGACGTGGGAGCTCCTGTGGTGGCAGGCGTACCTTCTTCTGTTGGAGGCGTGCTGGTCGTTGTATGTTTGACCGGCGCGGAGTGCCGAGGCCGGGTTGATGCAATGGCACGGGTGTGCTGACTCCGAGGACACAGGAGCTGGCCCTGTGCGCGACGTGGGAGCTCCTGCAGCCTGACGCAGGGTATGGCGCGTTCTGCGGGCGACGTGCCGAGGCCGGAGTGTTGACAACGTAGAGAACCGAGGCCCAGTCGATGCAGAGGCTGAACCATCGTGAGGGGCTCGGCAAGCACAAGTCCCGAGGCTACAGGAGCCCGGAAGCGGATAGCCGAGGCTCGGAGGGAGCAGTTGGTCTTGTTCGTTGATTCCGAGGCTACAGGGACCTGTACTTGACTCTCCACGCCGCGCCGTCCTTGGAGCAGGTGGGGTTAGGCAGCATAGTGCCGCATGGGTGTCAGTCGTGGGCACAGTGCCGAGCACAGCGGCCGGTAACCCCTGCCCCGTCCTGTCCCGGACTGCATGGCGCCGATGTGACCCCCGTCTCGTCGGCCACTCTGCTGTACTGCGTCGACGTGCGGCTGACGTTGCTGGAGTGGTTGGACGCGTTGGTTGGATATGACATCCTGTCAGGGAAATTGGTCAAGGCGGCGGTGATGGGGTCGATGTCGAGCCGGCCTCACGCGAGTCGGTAACTGAGAGTTCGTCCGAGGCCTCGTGGCGCGGGGCCTCGAGCGAATCGGAGAATCGGTACCTCGTCCGAGGCCTCGGGCGAGGCGGAGAGTTGGTACCTCGTCCGAGGCCTTGCGGCGTGGGCCTCGGGCGAATCGGAGAATCGGCCGAGGCCTCGTGGTTATCTCTTGATTCGATATTTACAAGGTCTAAGCAATTTTTTTCAGTTTTTGCTTAGGGTACCCCTTTCTATGGTATCCAACAATGTATCCGATAAATAGCTGATTCCATATAACAAATTGACAAAAAAAATGAGAGCGCGTTTCTAATTTTCTACCATGGGTCTATCCCTTCCTCCGTGGGCCGAGCCTACGCATGTATGGGGGGCCGATGGGCGCCTCTCCCTCTCTCATATACGAGAAGTAGTTCACGTGTTGCTCAACAAAAAAAAAACGAGAAGCAGTTCACGTCACGGTGCCTGCAGATGCATGCGCCGATGCGCGCCAACACGGCACGGTGCAACCTATGATGTACTGTATGAACGTCTGAGCCCCACAGCGCGCGCCGCCATTTCTGCACGCGCTCCTCGCAGTCACAGCGCACAGCGGAGATCACGTACGCGCGGCGGCGCGTATCCACGGCGCTCCCGTGTTTGGGACATTGACAATGTATTTCCCTCATGAACAAGTGGAGCGAAAAGGAAACGAAGATGAAACCTTTCAGTTTCAGACTTCCATCAGTCACCCAACTTGTCAATCGAACCCAATTTATGCACAGACCTACATCATTTTTTTTACAGAACACGCGTAGTTTCTCACTTACATTATCACAACCTGCACTTCAGTGTACGATTACGAAACTATACTACCTACTGGCTACAGGCCTACAGCTAAAGTAAGACACACGTTAAGACATCGCAAACCTGGGAGCCAAGTTACAGACTGAAGAGAACACCAACTGAGGGCTTGTTTGGCTACACTATTATCAATCTGAATCCATGTGGATGAAGGTGGATACGATTGCATCCAAATAAGATCTAACAGCATCATGTCGGCACAACCTCGTCAAATGGAGCTGAGACCCTCGCGAAGAACATCTTCAGGGACAGGCACATCATTACCAGCTGGACGAGGCCAAAGAGGGACACTTTGAAGGTCCTGCTCTGCATCTTCAGGACCTCGGTCATCCGGTAGAGCTCCTTCTCCCGGACCTCCAGCTTGTCCACCTGCTCTTTCAGCATCACGATCTTGCTCTCCGTCTCTCGTAGCTTGAGCAACATTCTGGTCTTGTCACCGGCAGACAGCGCCCTGTGCTCCTCCAGGGCCATCCGGTCCTCCGTCCGGACCTGCCAATTCTGCCTCGCTTTCAGCATCACCAGACACTGGATTTCGGCTTCTAGTTTCTCCTGGAGATGGTGCTCGAGCTCTGTCTCCAACTGGTCGATGCTAGCTGCTGCCTCCTCCTCCAGCGTTGCCCTGTCTGCAGCACCGATGAGTACTTGAAGCTTGGAAAGCCTTAAGTCTTTCTCTCTGATGGTGTTTGATGCTTCTTTCACTTTCTGTTCAAGATGTTCCATCTTCTCATTCAGTTCCAACATATCAGCCTCTGCATATGGCAAAACGATTACATCTTGGTCTTTGTTACCATAAGTGGATTCCTCCGCCTCAAGTTCTTTGCCAAGTTCTGATAATTTTTGTATCTCTAAGCAGCACACAAAAAAATAGAGGTGGTTAATACAAACATAAACTAGAGCTCAAAGACTAAACAATTTTTTAAAAATCACGGTAATCAAGTGGTATCTATGGAAAAACTGGGATGGCACAGCTTTGTTATACCAAGAACCACTAGAGTTAGGTGATCCATTAGAACTAGAGCTAGGCAAAAGTGTCAAAATCCAGAAGCGCACACTTGTCCCTTGTACTATATTGTGAAGAAACAAATCATTATTTTTCTTTCCAAAATGATGTGAGAGCAAATTTGTCACTGATGTGGAAAGCATGCTTTGTACTATGAGAAATGATCGTTGTCTGGGTCTATGGATTGAAACAAAAATAGTAAATGGAGGCACGAAGCCATAACCATGACCTTATGTGTATTTTGATGAGTGCTGCATAATGCAGCACTGAACAAGGCATAATTACTCGTACATTATTAAGGGGGAGGTGTGACCAAACTATCATCACATATACTGGAGAAACAACCTATTTAGTAAATAAATACATGGTGCATGATCAAAGTCAGCACTGACATGTCTGAAAAAAGCAAGTAAGCAACAGATTTATAAAGAAAGTGTTGTGTGGAAATTTTACTTCAGCCAGAAAAGCTGGAAATCCATGAAATTCCAACTTTCAAAGTACCATAAAAATATTGTGCCTGTACTGTGTTCCTTAAGCAAAAGTATTAAACAAGCCATGACACATTTCTAGGATGGTTCAAAACTACGTAGTGTAAGAAGGCAGACAAGCATTATTTTTAAAAAAAAAAAGTGCATGAGAAACATGAATAAAGACAAGATTTTTACCATTTTCAAGGACTTGCTGTGTTGTATGAAGTGAAGAAACCGATTCAGCAAGAGGATCACCATTTCTATCTTGGTTCACCCAGCTCCATTCATTTTCATCATTTTGCTCTTCACTACCTATTATCATTTCCTCACCAATGCCACTGTCCCTTTTGTATGCTGACTGAACCTCCTCACTTTGCCGGACCTCACTTCTCTCCCCATCATAGTTCATCAACATTGTTCTATGCCGGTGGTTACTGAAAGCATCACCTGCATCGGATGCTATCAAGTAAGATTCAGCAAAGGAAGCATGTCTCCTGTCCCTAACAGCCCTTCGGCGTGCCTTGTGCCCTTTTCCTGAAAAACCAAAATCCTTCACCCAAACCCTTTTTCTATTACAATCTCCAACGGTCTTCAGCCCTATTACGCCTAGCGAATAGCCCGTCGCTAGCACCAAAAAATTGATGTTGAGCTGCAGCGGGTTCTCAGGCGATTGCCTCCTTACTCTTCTCCACCTCCTTAATCTGCACTGCTTCCTTGGTGACGTCTCTACAAACATCTTATCTAGTGGTCCTAGCCAGGGGAGAGCTAACTTGTGCAGCACCACTGCCTTCTCATCGGAAGGCAACTTTGGAGGGGATGGCATAGGATTCAACGTCCTAATGCCGATATCAAAGTTGGCTACTGTGATGTCCTTGATGCGCAAATCGGCTAACTTATTTGCACCTCCAAATTGAGATATCTTGCCCCAATCTAGATCAGAATCATGAGGCGGCTCTGGAGGATACTGGCCTAAGTTTTCTGCTCTAGTTGTAAACTCCAATTCAGGCATGCTAAATTCACCCATTTTTTGGTCTAAACCCTATGTGCCGAAAGACAAGGAAACCCAATTGTGAAGGCGGCTGGGCTCCTGAAATCAGGCTCCCAGGGTTCGGTTCTATGCTTCATCCTACCCAAACGCATGCAATTTTATAGTTCCCCGTCCTCGATTCACACTCCAACAATCCTCCTAAGCAGCCGGACAAACAGAATTCCAAGAAACTACACTACAAGACGTGGCCCTCGGTCACAACAAACCAGAAATTTCACGGGAAATTCCGAAATAAAAAATCGGACCAACCTAGAGCGGTGGAGAAATCACGCACCTGACGCGACGAAAGTTCCTGGAATTGGGACGGCGGGAGGAGGCTGGCGGGGTGAGCGGAGACAACAACGGCCGGGGGCGGGGCCGCCTGGCCTGCGCAGCGAATATATACAGTCTCGTAGGAATTTCCGTGAAGCAGCGGACAAACTGCGCGCCACGGAAGAAGGGAGGTTGAGGAAAGCACGAAAGGAAGCCGAGGAAGTAAAGGATGTCCGTCAAGGAAGAAGAACGATTAGTTAGCGAACGCGATGACGCCGGGATTGGGGGATTCCGTCCCAGATTTCGTTGTCTGCGGTTCGACGGAACGGGACGGGACATTACGTGGGCTCGGTTCGTTGTAGACCGTATCGCCGAGAAAGAAGAAGGCCATGTGGCGCGCTGATGCCTGATGGGGAATTGCTGGTTTTTGGGCTTTGCTGCTCGCGGCCCGCTTTCGTGGAGTTCTATTGGGCCATGCTTGATGCTTTACCCAAGTTACAGTTGCTGCCTCGCTGAGAAGTTGAAATGGTTGAGAATTATTATTTAGTGCTTAATTAGGGATTAATCCAATGGATGTCTTTTCACCCTTCTCTCTTTCACATTTGTAACCGTCCATATGGGCTATGTATATATATGTACACATTGTTTTGTTTTTAGACCAGAAAATTGTTCATGCCTAAACATACATAGTTTGTCGATTTTGATCTTCGACAATTAATTCTAATTGCAACAAAATCGATCTTCTTAATTAATTGATAGTTAATTAAGGTTGGATGATTTAAGGCTCATTTGAGCCTAATTTGAAAAAGCAAAATGGCAGCCAAACCATTTTTGCTAGTAAGGCTAACATAGGAAGTGTATTTTGCTTTGCTCCTACGGGATTTGCATAGTTATGCCACTCTATAGCACTATGTGCTTAGTAAGTTTTATGTTTTAGTCTATGAATTTAACATTATTAGTACATCTATACTTTCTTGACCTTGTTAATTTAGTAAATTTTCCATGAATTACTTCAGAACAACGGTAGATCATCTTAATTAAGCATTTCTTAATTAATGATGGATTATGCAAAATTGTTATATTCATATCTTGGATACATTTGGGATCCTAACACAAGTAATGGATTCCTAGGCATTGGCCGTGCTTAATTCATCTTGAATTATTCAGCCCAAAGACCGTGCCTATGGCAGTGATTATCCATCCATTACTGAGAGGTCTACATCATGTTTATTTAAACTTGATGACTACCTACAATGTGTTGTCCCAAATAAGCATTTTGGAAATATAAGAATGGTACACCTTTGTGGTCTACCATCATTCATTATTAAAAGGCTACACACATGTAGTAGAGTCTTAGGCATTGGCTACGGTATATTCATACGAATATATTAGCCCAGAGACCGTGTCTATAGTAGCAATTTATTTGCCTACTACTAAGAGATCTACTATATGTTTCGGACATAGAGATTATCTACAATGTGTGTGTCAACATTAATAATGATTGTTCATGAGGTCTACACATCTTGTGTTTACCTCTAACTTTTGGAAGGTTTACAGTTTTGTTGACTACCTCTAACTATCCAAAACAAAGTGACAAGATATGGAACCCCCTAAATTTTGCATTGGATACAACATCACCATAGTGATTTTTAATTTACCTTAGGTGTAAATTAATTAAATCAATAGTCTATCACGTGTTGTGGATACTGACTTCAGAGGAGTCTGATGAACTCGCTATTGATGACATCTTTATCCCACATGGACAATGGACATTGACATTGGTTTTATCCTATGGACTAATGGAAGTGTAACAACCCAAAAATCCATACACCAGAAATCACAACTACAAAATTTTTCTTTAAAACCCCATGTGATGATGAGTGACATTGTAGGAGTCAACCCTAAGTGTTGCATTAGAAGTAACCCAACCCAAGTCAACACATAAGCATGGCATGTCAATTGTTGATTATGTTATTTAATTTTTGACAAACAAAGTGTTGCATACATTGTTAACTCAAATTATGATTTAGATTTTCATTTGCTTTATGTTATACTTAACCACTCCATTAAAATAATAAACCACAAAATAATTATTAATCAAATCAAAAGCATAAAGGCTTAAAAGGAAAACAATTTCTATTTTTGTATAACCAAAACTACATCTATTTTTGTTATACAAAATAGCTAAATAAATTTCTAATAATTAAATAAGAATGTTGTGGGTCACATATCTAAAACTCCAATGAGTAAGCTGCACCAATTTGAAATTCAAATTTAAACCAAATTTGAATTCAAACAATGGAAAAGAAATAAAAAACAGAAAAGGAAAAGAAGAAGTGGGCCTCCTAGCCAATTGCTTGCCGGCCCACCGCTTGACCGACCACGACCTTCACCCTCCTCTCTCCGCTGCCCACCTTGCACAAGACACGCCTAGCTAGCCGGCCCAAGATATCGCTCACGCTCACATGCATGCCATCAACCCATTGATGAGTCGCCGCCACTTGGCCCCTTACGTCGTCACGTTGCTCACTCACACATTTGCCCTTTAGCCGCCCATGCCGCCGCCCCCCCGGACCCGCATGTCAGTCGCACCCCGTCTACAGCGTCGTCTTCTTCACGCCCACGCTCAACCGCCCACGCGACCAAGCCCCGATAGCGGTGGCAGGGCGGGCCAGGGGTCACGCCCGGGGCATGGCCCTGTCTCCTTGGCGCCGCACCCACGCAACCCTTGCGCCACGCCTACGCCACCGCACGCGAGCCATTGGATGCCACTGATCACGCCTCCACCGCTCGATCGTCGTCCACCATTGGAGCTCGGAGCTCGGCTATAAAGCCACGGCCCTCGGTTGCCCTAGCGCTATCCTGTGCCCCGCCGCCACCTTGTGGTCGTCCACAGCACACCCAAGCCAAGAGAGAAGAGGGAGGAGAGGAAGAAGGGGGGAAAAAGGAAACACCGGAGCATTGCTTTGGGAGGAAGACCGGAGATCACCGGAGCCGGGCGACGACACCTTGCGCACGGCTTCTTCCGGAGCTACACGGCCTCGACTCTTCACTGCACCGCTATCCTCTCACCCTCAACACCTACGGTGAGCCTTCCGGCCTCTCCCTGCTCGCCGCCGAACCTTACTGTGTTGGCCATGGCGCTCCACATCATGAGCGCGTAGGCCAAGGACATCTCTGGCCACTGGGTACACATGCACGGCACACTCGCGCGCACATCCGCGACCATCTCCCAGCCCCACGGACACCGAATCAAAGCGTGCGCACACCACACTCACAATGCCGCCGCCATGGCGCGGCCACCGCTGGCACACACGGCCGCCTCGCCAGACTAGAACATAGCCAAAGAGGATCGTAGTGACGTCTGGAGGACAGCTGCATAGACCGAGGCATTGATAGGCGACCGCAGTGCCTCGGCCACGAGCACTGAACCACCGGCTGGAGTTCCGCCGTGCACCTCCACCGTGGCCAAGTCCGCTGGGGGTGCCTAGCGTCTCCTTGACTCGCCCGTCCTGAATCACTGGAGCCTCGTGAAGCTCACACGCACCACCGATACGCCTCTCCGAGGCCGTGGCCACCTCACCGACGTCACCATCGTGTCCGGGGACTGCCGCCGGGAAACCCCTACCGGCCTCATGAGAATCCAAGCCCCGCCTTGAGCACTAGACGCCCTCGCCATGCTCCCACGGAACCGCTGAAGCCTTTACCCGCCTAGCCGAGACACCAGGAAGCTCAGACGGCGACTTCACCATCGGCGGGCACCGTCGAACCGCCAACCACCGTGGCCAGGGTCCTAGGGAGTCCTAGCCATCGCCCCGACCCCACCATCGCAGTCGCCGAAGCCTGATGGTGTTTTTCCCCACGTCAATTGGGCGCTGGCACCGCTGCGGAAGCTCGCCGGTGAGTATGTCGCCAGCGGGAGCGCGTCGTGGAAGAAATAGAGGAGGGGCGAGTTGAGCAGCAGTAGCCTTGCACCCGGTGCACAAGAGCCGAGCCAAGGCAAATGACGGTGGACTTGGTCCACCAGGGACCCTGCCTTAGGTCATGGACCAGCACCACCTAGTCCACTGTGAGCCACGCCCACGCCCGCGAGCTGTGGACGAAGCCCAGTAGAGGCCCACGGCCATGATGTGTCAACGCCACAGCTTGCCACGTGTCCGACCCGGCCCAGACCGGCCCAACCCGAAGCCCGCCGGAGCCCGTTTGAGACCCAGTCCGTGTTGACCGTTAACTAGTCAACGTTGATCGTTGACCTAGCCCCACATGTCGATGGGTACGCAGAACACTCGGACCCACACGTCGAAGGTGACATCATCTTTGGCGTCACGCGGGACCCACATGTCGGGCTAAGCGCGGCAAGGTGACGCTCATCTCGGCGTCACTATGACATCATTCTTGCCGACGTCGGCAGCCCAGCCCCACACGTCAGTGACCTTGACCGTTGACTGAAGACCATTGACTCGCCGTTGACTTTGACCGGACCCACCTGTCAGTGACCCAATAGCCTCTGGCCCCACCTGTCGGTGTGGATGTCGTTGCTGACGTCATGCTGACGTCAGCTGGACCCCCACCTGTCAGCTCGGAACCGTCATGCTGATGTCATGCTGACATCAGCAAGCCACGTGGACCAACCCCAGCATGACACGTGTCAGCCCAGGATTAATTCATCCTTTTTCATTTTCAGAAATGGATTTAATCTTCGGAAATTCATAACTAATTCATAT